CATGTTATAATTTGTAATCATTCTAGAAATAAAAAGCCATAATTTATATTTATTTCCTAATTTTTTATGGTGGTTACAAGATCAGTCAAATCACTGAAAATACAGATAAAATATAAAGTTTTTTTCTTAAGAAACATTTGATAACTATCTCGACATTATAAAGAATTTGCATGTGAAATTTGAAAATTTTCTGATGGACAAAAGTATTTTTAATCTTAAAATGAAAATTCCTTTGTATGTTGGATAGGCAACATGTGGAAAGAAAAAAAAAAGTATGAGAAAAACATTGCTTTAGAAACCTTAAGTCTTAATTAAAAAACCTAATATTTTGCGTATGAGAGCATTGTAATGTTTACTGATAATCTGCCAAATTTCGTTAACATACACTTACTAATTTAAAAACTATAACAAGCATAAAATGGTTATGAGGTCGGTCCCAGGGACCGAGCCTTCATGAAAATTCTTAAGGTAATGTAATACCAGACTTACTATCAATCAATATATAGTAGTATATATTAGATTTGTTTTTTTTATAAAAGAAATTTAGAAATTAAAATTGCAAAAAGATTATTCTGTATATCAAACAAGCAAAATTAGGTTAAAATATTCTTACCCATCACCTAAACTTTGAAGGTCTGGAAGGAGCTCACTAAGTACCTCTGGCAGTATCTTTATGTACATCTGCATTTTCCTTCTAATGTACTCCTCTTTGAGTTTCTTCACATGGCGCATGAACATTTTCTGAGCATCACCATGACCAAACAAGTCACAGTAATGAAGAAAATCTGAGTTTTGAGCAAACCTTTTGCTCACATTACTCCACACAGCTTTATAGTCTGTTACCTGAGCACGTATCACTGATTGATAAGCCTCTGTTGCCACATCCAACACTTCTTTCCTTCGCTGTGCAGCTTCAATAAATGGAACAACTTTGGACTTACCTTTGGTCCTATCAATCATCTGAGCAAGTACAAAAAATGCTAAATCAACATTGACATTTTCATGGGATGATGTCTCTATAGTTGGAATGTTTCCTTTATATTCTTTTCTAGTTACAAGACGTTCAGCTTCCTTGATATAACTTTCCCTAGCTTCATCATTTTTGGTGGTAACCAGCACAATTGGTTTCTTTGTCTTCCACAAATTGTTTAAGATAAGGCTGGTAAATTCCACCTGTTTTTCAATAGTACGTCCTGGCACATTAGACACATCAAACACACACACAAACCCATCTATATTCAGTTTCCCTTCTGGAATCATTTTCTGTTCATATTCTTTTTCAATTCCTGGAACAGAAATGAGAAAAAATACAATTTCACTCTTTAAAAAATACACAAATAAGCAACTTAAATGGATATTCAATTAGCTATACTGATTGCCAGATTGATTTTTAATTTCACTCTAAATACATAGCTGGCTCTGTTTGGAAATTAATATTCATAAACACACAATAATAAATGTCATTACTTTACACCTTTTGAAAGTTAAATAACTGACTCACATTATTTGGCTTATAGGTGTTACTCATAAACAAGTTCACATATTTGCAGAATTGTTCCCACAAAAAAAAAAACAGTATTCCAAACTTTCAACAAGATAAGGGGCCCTCCATTAACCCTTTCACAGTAGCAAAAAAAGGTAATAATTCTGCTCCTAATAAAACCTAAGGCTACCAACAATACTGACAGATCATGGGAAAAGTCAAATGGATAGTTCTGTAAAGACTAACTGTTGGACTATTCCCCAGCTAACCAATTCTTTTAACTGTAGTTAGAATATCACTGCCTCCAATTGTTCCATTTGAAATATATTGCAAAAAATATCATGTGGGAGCCAACTTATATGCAAACTAGTAAGCATGGCTTCAACAGTGTTTTGAAGAACAAAGCATGTGTGAGACCGAGATCTTGTTAAACTAAGTATTCTTTTATAATTAAAAACAAATTATTAAAACTTCAGATACTGAATAATGATATGTATGTATTTAAATTATTATCTTCTTAATTTTCTTCATGTAGATCAAACTTTATCATTGACAAGGTTTCAAAAATATCATTCTTGCATATAGAGCTGGGTGATAAGCAAAATTTGCTAATCAATTAATCAGTAGGCTTATTGATTGATTACATTCAACTAGTTGATCATTTTCATGAGATTAATCGTCCTGTATTCAGCTTACACTTTCAAATTACCCTTCATTTAATATGATAGACATTTTCTAACAGTTATCATTTGTGCATTTTGTGAAAAAAAAAGAAAAGAAGCAAAAACATTTGGTACACATCTTTTAAAAAGATAATCTGAATATTTCCTATTTGATGCATCACTAATGTCGATATTACAATGTGATCACCATTTCATTTGTTTTTAAAATGTGCAGTAATCTCCCACTGATCTTCTGTAAGTCCAATAAATCGATCATCAAATAATGACAACACAAAGTTTAATTTAAAACATATCGCAATTGTAGTGAGAAATAATTAACTAACCAGTCAGCTAATTTACTCATGCCCCTACTGTACTAACTGAAACTTATTACACTTCTCCAACATTTACAATTCAAAAAGTTATGTAATCATCTTATTGTCTAGACAATCTACAGAACTACCATTGTATTATTGATGATGGTGTGCCAAAGTAGAGAATTTTTATAGCTCGTTGGTCACGTGACAATATATCTGAAGTTTTAAGTAGTTTTTTAAAGGTTTCTTTTGAAATAAGGGATATAAAACTTAAATAACATAAAACTTCAAATCATAACATACATGATAATGTGAATTTAATTAATATAAATTGATAGTGAAGGTGTTTAATTAAATTTTTAATATAACACTGTGACTTGTGCAAAAAGATGTTTAACCCTTCCATTACAGGTTGGGTAGAATCCACCCAGCTCGTAACCACGAAAGTATCCATGAGAGTAATAATACTAAGATTTTTTATAATGTATGCACATTATTAGAAAATTTGGCAGGTTATTGGTGAACATTACAAGGTTTTCATACACAAAATATCAGGATTTTAAATCAAGTATTAAGATCTTTAATTAAAGATTTTCTCGTAAACTTTTTTCTTTCAGAATATTGACTATCCAACATGCAAAGCAATTTTGATTTTAAGATTAAAAATACTTTAATGCATTAGAACATTTTCAAATTTCACATGCGAAATCTTTATGATCTCCAGATAATTATCAAATTTGTTATATGAAATATTATATTTAATTTGTTATTTTAACTAGTGTATTTCTGTAAGGGTTGGTTCTACATGACTGACCTCAATAAAAAATTAGGAAAAACAATAAATTATGCTTTTTTCCTTCTAGAATGACTACAAATTAAAACACAAAAATTTTTAGTCTAAATAGCTTAAATCTAATAACGTTATACATTTATTATTTTTATTATATTGACCTTGTCAGCCATACCTGGCTAACAATACAGAAGTTACAATGACACATCGCAGGTGCACTTGTGTTACCATATCCAATAATATATAACTGACCTTTAGTCTTTACAAAGTGACCTGACTTGGCTGTTTTTTTAGTATTTTGTAAAATACAGTCACATTTCAACTATTATAACTTATTTCTATTTACAAATAAGCTCTTAAACTTATTTATTTTAAAACATAGAACAGTAAATAAAGTAAAGCAAACAATTATCTCTTCTAGTTATGACCTTTATACTCGTTTGCCGCTTGTCGTAGGTTGCTAAGCCTTATGAAATTTCCCACGAGGAGAATGTAAAAAGAAATTTGTTTTTAGGTTTTATATATACATATTAATTCACCAAAATATTACAAATTACTATGTCAATACCATAGAATTCCACTATAATTTATCAAACGTAGTAAATAACCTGTATTTGGGTCTAAATAAATTTGAAATTTAGAGCTCACTAAAGACTTACCTCATCATTTGAAATATTGTGTAAAAAGAATGAAATTAGCACAATAACACGTCAAAATGGCTGAGAAAACCACTAGGGGACATTCTGAGCTTTTGATTGGTTATTCATGTCATATATAGAAGTGCATATAAGGGACTGTTTCAAAAAATGGAAAGAGGTGGGCAGGGAGCCACTGTGTTTGATTCAGTACAGGAGCAATATCTGAGCAAGTAGAAAAGATAAGACATTCTTATTTTATATTCTGCCTTGTCAATATCAGTAGTTTGAGTATATTTTGTATTTTGACATCACAAACATGTAATCTGAACCAGTGCTGCATTCAACATTCTAAATAGCTTAAATCTCATAATGTTATACATCTATAAATATTATTTTTATTTCACTGACCTTTCAGCCATCCCTGACGAACATAACAGAAATTTGCGATGACACAGTGCATGTGCACTGATGTTACTGTATACAAGGATATAAAACTGGCCTTTACAAAGTGGCCTGTTTTAGCTGTGTTCTAATGGACCAGTATTTTGTAAAACAGTCACATTTCAGATATGTATATATAATACTATTTACAAATAAGTTTTTAAATTTCAGTTATTTTTCTTAAAACATAAAACAGTAAATAAAAAAGTATAGAAAAGAATGATTTTTTTTAGTTATGAACTTTGTACTTGTTTGCCATAAGTTGCTAAGCCTTATGAAATTTCGCACGTGGTTTTCAGGTTTTATATATGCATTTTGAAATAACAAAAAAATCATAAATTACTAT